CCCACTGGGAAAAATAATATTTCTACAATGTTACTGAACGTTGCATTTGTTAGATGTAATGTTACAAAAATCCTTATGGCAATGTTGCAGGAACATTGCAACAAAGCCTTATGTCCGGCTCAGGAACATTACATTTACAAATAAAATGTTGCTTAAATGTATTAATTGCAATGTTGCTAAATTTTATTTTTGTTAATGTAAGGTTCCTGCAACATTACATTTGTTAGGTGTAATGTTACAAAAAACCTTGTGGCAATGTTGCAGGCACATTGCAACAAAGCCTTATGGTTCAGAAACATTACATTTACAAATAAAATGTTGCTTAAATGTATTAATTGCAATGTTACTAAATGTTATTTTTGTTAATGAAAGGTTCCTGCAACATTACAGGAACATTGCAATTAAATTAATATGAATTATTATTGTAATAATTAATTATTTATCCGTAAGCTATAGGCCTATTATATATAAATAACAGACTGTTTCGACCTGTTTGGTCTCATCAGTGTCAGGCAGTCGGTGACGGGAGACACCCATCAAGCTCGGCAATGTTCAATTATAAAGATAAAATGACCAAGACAGCGGCGAGATGCATCGGCAAGTCAGTCTGCAAACAACATTGCAAAAATTATCTTAATGCAATATTTCGGATGAAAAATAGTCCTAAACTAAAGTATAAATGTAATTTTATAGTTACAATGTTCCAAAAATCTTGCAAATTAAATGTTTATATTGTTTATATAAAGCAACATTTTAAAAATCATCTTAATGTAATATTTAGGATGAAACATTGCCCAAAACTTATCAATGTAATATTATAATTGCAATGTTTAAAAAATCTTGCAAATTAAATGTTTATATTGTTTATATAAAGTAACATTGCAAAAATCATATTAATGTATTATTTCGGATGAAACATTACCCAAAACTTATCAATGTAATATTATAATTGCAATATTCCAAAAATTTTGCAAATTAAAAGTTTATATTGTTTATATAAAGTAACATTGCAAAAATCATCTTAATGTAATATTTCGGATGAAACATTACCCAAAACTTATCAATGTAATATTATAATTGCAATGTTTCAAAAATCTTGCAAATTAAATGTTTATATTGTTTATATAAAGCAAAATTGCAAAAATCATCTTAATGTAATATTTCGGATGAACCATTGCCCAAAACTTATCAATGTAATATTATAATTGCAATATTCCAAAAATCTTGCAAATTAAATGTTTATATTGTTTATATAAAGTAACATGCAAAAATCATCTTAATGTAATATTTCGGATGAAACATTGCCCAAAACTTATCAATGTAATATTATAATTGCAATGTTTCAAAAATATTCCCAAACATTCCAAAATAAATGTTTCTATTGTATATGTAAAGTAAAGTTGCAAACATTTTTCATTTGAAACTTGTGTTAATATTTCAAATGAAACATTGAAAAAAAGTTATGTCTGCAATATTATAATTGTAATGTTTAAAAACTTTTATGCAACATTTTATACTAAATGTTACAAATATAACATTGTAAAAACTTTCCATGTGAATCTTTAAATAATGTTTTAAATTTAAAGTTCTTGAAAATTATTATAAAATAAAATTTTTCCTGTGCTACTTGCATTAACATAAATGAAATGTTACATTTGAAATATTGCATATTATGCAATATTTCAAATGTAACATTTCATTTATGTTAATGCAAGTAGCACAGGAAAAATTTTATTTGTAAAGTCGGCGAACATTGCAGCAATATTTTGTAAGGTTTCTTTCCCAGTGGGCGGATTTAAATCCTAAATCATAAATCAGGATCGCTGGTTATACGAGCCCTGTCTCAGTGAAGTTGGCCCAACTAACAAAAATAGTTTTTTGAAGATATTTAGAATATTATACGGTAATTAATTAAATTTAACACATTGTTTTAATTAAATAAATAACGTTTATTAAATTTTCTACCGTTAAATTGTATTTTTAAGCACCTAATAAAAAAATATTTAAAATTCTCTTATATTGTCCGTAAACCAAAAATTAAGAAAAATTTTTTTTTAAATAAATACATTTTAATTGGAAACTACCACTGCATAACATCTCTTTTATGGCTTATTACTGCCTGTATACGTCTCGGCATGGTGTCAACCAATTTTTGACAATCATCCGGCGTAAAATTATTCCAAATTTCTTACAGGCGAGCAGGCAATTGTTAACTCTAAGACGGTTCTTGCGGGCTGTTCTCTGAGCTTCTTTTTCATAATATGCCACAAAGATCTGGACTACTATATGTCCATTTTAAAAGTGAAATATTATTTTCTATCATCCAAGCTTTCACTTTTTTAGCCGTATGACCAGTGCCGGTTTAAGTTAGTTCGCCGCCCGGTTCTGGCAAAAACACAACGCCCAATGCTTTAAAATATTACTTTTTTAAAAACATTTTTAAATTTTTAAGTCTTACTTTCTCACGTCAAGTGGAAGATTATGTTGGTTAGGCTGGTATCTAACAGTAAACTTAGTATCCTATAAAATATAAAATGAGCCTTTATAAACAAATTATAAAAACTAATCAAAAGTTATAAATAAATAAAACATTATTCTTTAGTTTAAATAAATATTGAGAAATCCTAATACTAATAATTAAAAGGTTGTTTTCAAGTCTTTTTCTCTAGTAGCAAATTGTTTTATAACACTTTACATTTATTTCATCTAGCAGGTCTTGATAAATGGACAGAATTGCTAAGGAGTTAAATCTTTCTTGGGGAATTGTATTTCTTAGGTAGTTCTTTATAAAGGGTATACCCTTTTTAGAGCAGAAAAAGATCGCTCATCACTTGCATTTGAAACCATTATTAATATTCGGAAATGAAGATATTAATTTATTTTCGTATAAAACTTATACTAATTCCAATGGAGTTTCTATTTTTATTTCCGAAAGGGAAGTTACCAGTTTCTTGAGTTGGGCACATTTTTGAGGAAAAAACTCATCCAAATCCTCCACGAAGATTTATGCTTTTAGATTAAACAAAAATTCAAATTTGTTTGTGCCAGATTTCTAGCTATCATATCGACAAATGATTTCGGATTATAGATTGTCAATTAATAAAATAAAACATATTGTTCGCATTGTTTCTTTTTTGCTTAAACTTGCCTCTGAATTATTTTCTTCAAATTGTAATTTTCTTATGATTATCCGCTTCTGAGCATAATTTTCGTTTCCTGTTAATTTCCTCGTAATGATCAAAATGATATCACGTAAAAAATCAAAGTTCTCAACTAAAAATGACAAAAGATGAGCATTTGTGCTTAAATCCATATTTTGTTTTTGGACTGCTTTATTGGTTTCATTAACCCTTTGCAAAATGTCTATCCAAAAAGTTCAAATTATTCCGTTTCCAATAAATCAAGTTTTTCTGATGGAGAAGCTGCTTTAACTCTAACAACATTTTTCTTATTTGTATCCGTTGTATCCGCCGCGGCGACGCAGTGTCGCAATAATTTTTTTTCTAAATTCTAACGATTAAGTATTTTTTTTAAATTATGGGCGGTACGCGGTACCGCCCCAAAAATATTTACCGCCCGGTGCTATAGTCCCCAAAAAAACCCTGTTAAACCGGCACTGCGTATGACACGCTGCACCATCTTGTTGGAAGATGCATTCAATATCATTTAAACGCCCCAGATAGCACAAAGGTATACTATGGACGTCCAATGGACGTATGCTCGTGGACGTCTGTATGTACATAGGATGTCCATTTTTTTTCTATGTACGTCCCATGGACATCCGTTTAGAGTCCAGATGTCACAACTTTGGACATCCATAAGTCGTCCACCGATGGACGTCTATAAGATGTTTGAACCATATGGTTCAAACATCTTATAGACGTCCATCGGTGGACGACTTATGGATGTCCAAAGTTGTGACATCTGGAATATTCCTCCAGCATCCAGGACCTGCTTTTTTGCTTACTTTAACTGTTTTTTGCGACTGTATTTTCATTGCGATGTTGCAGAAAATTTTCTACAACATGACTGAAATGCCTTTTTGTCTGGCTCAGTAACAATCCCACTATAGTGGGATAGGAATATAAATATTCTAAATATATAAAAATATAAATATGTTAAAAGTTACAACATTCAATGTTGAACATTGCAGGAAATCCTTGTATTCGACTCAGGAACATTACATTTGCAATACTACAAGTGTTTAACATTTCATTGATAGCTTAAGTCCTTTATAGCACGCGCTTGCTTGAATGTCAGTGAGATTGATCATAACTGTTGTTATGCAGCCAACAATACGTTTTAACTTGCATTTCTGTAATAATAATTATGGACGTAAAATGGACACTATATGGACGTCCATTAAAATCGTACAAAGGATGTAAATATATGGACGTACATAGTACATCCATTTTTAGTCCGTGGACCAATGTACTTAAAATGGATCTTAAACGGACGTCCATTGGACGAATGGTGCTATCTGGGGCATTTGTTCAATTTGCGGTTTTAAGGTATTTTTTAGGACGTAAATATATTTATCAGCATTCATAATGCCCTCTACAAAGTGTAATTTGCCGATCCCCACAGAACTACCGACTTGCTTACAATTATTTAAATGTCAAATATTATCTTTACTTTTAGCACAGCCGACTTGCATTAAAAAATCTGGCCATCCAAGTTAATGCATTTTTGTCGATTTTTTTGTATTGTATCCAAACATCCAACTTAAAACCATATAGGTATATGCTTAAAACTAAATAATATACATACACATATTTTTAAAAAAAAATTACAACATGAAGATTGACCAAGAATTACATATGATAAAAAATTGTTGGCTTTTCATCGCATAAAATTACAAATTTTTTATTTTGAGTGGTTGGGCCAACTTCACTGACACAGGGCTCGTAGATATAGTGCGCCGTTGAAAGATCAACCTATATTATTATATATATATCCTACCTTAAATTTTAAGCCTCCTTAATCAATTTGTTTTTTAGAGTCATTGCAGAAAATGTGGGGACATATTCTGCATGCGCTGCATCATAAAGCAGATCCCTCTTCCAGGTCACGTCACCCAAAAGGCTGTGCCAGTCTGTAAGCCTTGCTATGACATACTTAGCAACACTGTTGAGTAAAAGCAAATAGCACAAGAAATAGCACAAGTAGATCTGTTGTGATTTTATCTTTATTTTTTAATTTGATCACGTTTTATGTGATATACTTTTATTTATGTTAAATATTATTCTTCCTTAATTTCTTATATGGTCAAGATGTTATATCTGTTAAAATTTTAAATTATTTTTATAAGTTTTTGTTAATATTGGTGCATGTATTAAATATTATACCTCATTGAGGTTTTTAACTCAAGGGAAAATTTAAAACTATTTGTTGTTGAATAAAAAAACTATTAAAGGTAAAGAAATTAGCTATGACATTGTTATACAAAATATACAAACATAATGTATAACAATATAGCAGTTAATATTAAATACCTGCTTAATGAGTATTAGCCAAGCTAAATTGTTAAAATATAGTCTAGTTATGAAGCAAATATGGTTTTATTTTAAACCTTTTTCATAAATAACAATATAGGGGTTAATAAAATGTATTTATTTATTTAATAAAATACAGTTAACCTACATAATAATTATTTATTTCTTTTTACTTGGCCCTCCTAGTTCATCAAGTTCGTGTTTTAATTGTAATAATTCACTATCTGGAACATATCGAACTTCTTCATGATCATCTTCATGTGGTAAAACTTTAATAGTAACTCCAGGTGGTGTACTACTTTCAAGCACTCTAAGTAACATTGGAAGCTAAACATAAAATCAAATTATATTATAGGTATATCAAAACTAATCCATGTTTACCTGTAATGAGGAGATATCTGTAATTTGTAATGTCCTGTGATATTTTCTTAACTTGTATTGTGTATTGACAAGTTCACTATTTGGTTTATAAGTTGTTAGCTGTAAATCTTGTGCTGGAGTAGCCCAGGCATCTTCAACAGTAATATCCATATTTGTTATTAATTTGTTTAAGTATTTTTGGTAGCTTTCCAGTATTGGGTAATCATATCCTCTTAACTCTATGTTGAGTGTATCGTAAAGAGGTACTTTTGATTTCATACCCTAAAAATTCATAAGTTTAATTAATATACAGGGTGCTTTCTAAGTACAGTAGTAAGTCCATACAATATTTTAAGAAAAAAAGTTCATTTAAAGATATGTTTAAAATGCTTTCTATATGAGGCGTCAAAAATTATTATTTTATCTGTAGGTACCATAAGTTGCAAAAATTTAACGAGTTTTTTAAAATAATTTCCAATAAATTGCAAAAATTAAACAATATTTTGTTCTACCACTTATTTTAATATCGATGAATTCAAATACCTGAAGGTATTTGAATTCATCAGCCTATAGCTGTTATTTAAAAAATTTATATAGCTATTATTTAAAAAATTTATACTGAGTATTGGTTTAAAATCCTTTAAGAAGTACTCCTGTTTAAAGTCATTAAAATGTATGGTTTTAGAGAAATATTTTTGGTATTGAAAATAATTTTTGACACCCTGTATCTTAGTAAGAAAGTATTTTAGGACATATTTCCTTCCAGCAAAAATAGTGGACAACTCAAATAAGCTGGTTTCAGAAAAATTAAGATACAAGTTTGTGCAAAGCTAGTATATGATGTTTTGATTGTTCTCAATTGTAGAATATCCCTGTTCTCAAGAATTGTAGACTTCAGAAAGTGTGGTAACTCAAAAAGCGATGTACTTATATTAACTTTTTTCTTAAAATATACCTTTAAAGCTTTGTCCTAAAGTTACAGTCAGTACTCATGAAACACCCTGTAGAACAATTATTGTTTATATATTAATATATTATATACCTCTAAATAATCCGGTTCATATAAACTTCCACTCGAAAATGGGTTAACATATTGAAATTTTATCAATCTGGTAATTTTTGGGGTAAATTTTTGTAAAAAATTCATTTTTAAACGATCAATATTTATAGGCTAATCTTCTTCCTCCTAGGATTTTATTATTCGGTATAATTTTAAATTATTAATTTATTCCATAAGTTTATAAAATAGCTATAGGTCCATAACCATAGTATTTCTAATGATTTAAAACTGCATGCAAAGTAGACAATTAGAGGAAGAAGATTAACCTATATTTAGTATCCTTTTTCTATGTTTAGTTCTTTGTATCCTTTTTATATGGTATTTAGGGTGAAAATGTTTCTTAATATAAGGAATGGATTATCGGTAGCGACAAATTCATCAAAAGGTACCTATTGAACTAAAAATATTTTGCCATAAACTTACGTGTTTTATTTTAGTGATCAGACAATTATGCACAAAAGCAGCTGCTTTTGAAAATGTAACAAATAACAAGCAATCAAATGAGAGTTCAAAAAATAATGTCGTGGATTATCGTCATATTTATCCAGAATTTTTGCCTGATCCCAAACCAGAGTTCAGAAATGTTTTACGAGAGAAGTTGGAGAGAAGCGACATGATTGCAAGAAGGACCCAGATTCAAATACCAGAATTTTATGTTGGTGAGTATAATTATCCTAATTTATGTAAAATATATTAATGTTGTTAATTGTAGGATCTATATTAGCTGTTACTTCCTCTGACAAACATACTCCTGGTAAAAATAATAGATTCGTTGGTATTTGTATTGATAGGGAAGGGTGTGGGTTAAGAGCTACATTTATATTAAGAAATGTTATAGAACAACAGGTAATTTATTATTAAAATAAATAAGGATAAATAAGACAAATTTTGTTAATTATAGGGTGTTGAAGTTAAGTTTGAATTGTATGACCCAACATTACACAAAATAGAAGTATTAAGATTAGAAAAACGTTTAGATGATAAACTATTTTACTTAAGAGATGCTCTTCCTCAGTACAGTACTTTTGATCCCAATATGGAACCAGAATTACTTCCAGGGGGCTCAACAGTACCTGTTAATAATTTAAAAGTTAAACTAAAGCCAAAACCATGGCTTGAAAGATGGGAAAGACAAAACTTACAAGGGGTTGAGGATCTTGGTTTACCAGAGAAGTTCTATATTAGGGCTAAAGAGCTTGAGAAACCTTGGGAAAAATATGATTTGATGAAGGATTACATGTAAGAGTCAATATATTAAACATAATTAACATAATAATTTGTGACCTTTTAGGAAAACTATCCCAGAAGAAGAGCAAACTGAAATATTCTCAGAAGTTCAATCACATTTACATAAATTAGAAGTAACAAGAAAGCAAATGAAGAGGAAGAGAGTGTTTGTTAAACCTAGTAAATTGGCTTAAACTTAATAAATATTTGTTAATAAAATGACATGTCAGTGATTCGAGAAAAATGGTTAAATTAATGATTGCCCTTAAATATTAAAGAAGTCAAGATTGAAAATTGTTGATACCAATACAAGTAACATTAATTGCACCCCGGGCAACATTCGTGATATTCATACAAACATCACGCCGTGATTTTCATTAATTTTATTCATACTGATATCATACGGAAGTCACCGCGTAATAAATGAAAATCATACGAACGTCACGTCGTGATTTTCACAAATTTTATTCATACGGACATCATCCGGACGCCACTGCGTGAGAAATGAAAATCATGTCGTGATTTTTTATGCCATCGCTATTTGTGATTGACCGATGTCACAACTTGATATCCAATTGCTGGCACAGTTATTAAGTTTGTCGTTTTATGTCAAGCAGTGACATGCACGTGATATTTTTATGTCACGACGTGACACCGCAGGGACGAAACTTTTCATTTAAATGACATTACTTTAATTTGTTCATAATACGTTAAATACGTATTATGTTATTATTGTTAGACAAAGACTGTATTCTTTAATATATTTAATATTTTATATTTAATATTTTTCTTTAATATTAACCATATGGTTTTAAGAAATTATTTACGCAAAAATATATCTATATATATAACTTCATTTTATATTTGTTTGCGATTTTACAAACGATTTTAGCCAAGTACATAATACATATACATAGTACATATTATGTATGTACATATATTAGGGTGTCCCTTATTTTTATTTTTTTTACGCGTACCCTCTAATTATATTTATTACTTGTTTATATACTCACCCTGTATCTTTTAAACATACGTAATTAGGAAAAATATTTATTTAGATTTTCGTCTTGACTTGCTTAATCTGCTCCTAAATTTATGCCACTAAGTTTAGGGACACCTTGTATATTATAATACTGAGCACCTTTTGATATAAGGTTTAATGGAAAAATATTTTAAAAGATATTTTCCCAAAGATAAAGAAAATATATGCATTAGATTTTTTTTATATTTTTTGTGATACGCCACTGGTTACACACTTGTGTTCTGTGAGTACATAGATACAAACCAACAAAGTAGCTGCGCGTTGCCAGTTGTAAAAAATTGTTACTTAAAAATTTTCTTGCATAAAATAAATAAAAACTCAATAAATACAAAATTTTTATGCCCTTAAAGCTCCATTCTGTATTTATTTACTCATCCAGCTATTAACTTAAGCAATGATAAGAAAAATTAGTACCTAAGTAGTATTAGTTTTCTTTCTGTTTACTCAGATGAAATTAGGACAAGTTCACAGGTTAATCGTTAAACATTCAATTTGTGTTTGAAAATTTGTATTTTATTAGTAATAATAATAACTAATTAGTGATTTTATTCTATGGCGGGTCGGGCGCTCACAAATATTCAATTAACAAATATGGTTTTGTGTTACGGGGAAGCGATGCAAAATGCTCGTCAAGCAAGAATTTTGTAGGTATATTCAAAATTATTACAACGCCAATGAAGGACATCCACCGCCCTCAGAGCATAGTAAGTTTTGTACGTGCTGTGCAAAATTTAAGGGACCTCGGAAGATTTAGCGCATTTGTTGGTGATAGGGGTCGGGCTCAGGGACGTGAATTTGTGGCCCTTGAAGAGCAAATTTTGGACGAAGTGCACTCCATGGAAGCAAATCCGAGAATTAGTACAAGACGATTAACTGCCCAACTTGGACAAATGTCCAACTTTGTTACGTGGCGCACGATTCACGAAAATAGTTTGTACCCCTATCAGTGATAGGCTATCACCTACAAAAAGTTCAAGCTCTTCAGGATGGAGATTATGCAATGCGGTTGGAATTTTGCCATTGGTATATACAGAAAAATCAAGAAGGTGCTGATTTTTAATTTTACATTTGGCAACACTGCATTAAAAAGTAATAGGTAAGGTTAATTCGCGGTTCCTAGTCGATCAGTGGCGTACTTTTTGGTAGGATAAAGGTTATTATAAATTATTTTTAGTCTTTGGAATTTAGAAAAAAAAAGTTTCAGGTGCTTCTTTATGGACCCTAAGGAACTACCCATTTTAATATATAACATTAATTACATAACACCCTGTATAAAGATTCAAATTCGTAAAAGTTTTTAATAGGTTGTGATTGGGATTGTTTTCAGACTCCGGGGAGGATGCCTGTATTGAGCTGGGGGTATTTGGATGCATTGATCTTGGGGGGGATGGGTTTGTTAGGATAGATATGATAGGTGATATTGCTGGGTTTCTACCATTTGGACTATTTAAGCATGATTGGAAGGAGTTGTCTGAATTGTATATTTTTTTCTTTTTATTTGGAGGTGGTGATAATCTTTGCACGATGTTGGGGTTTTCAGGCTGCGACTCTCTTTGCCTCAAGGGGGGAAAGTCCAATGGGTGCGGTCTAAATTCTGGATTAGGTAGGTATGTTTTTTTTATTTTTTCTGAAGCATCAAAAAAAGATATATTTTCAATTGCCATTTTCTTTTTTATTTCTCTTTGTCTTATGAATTCTGGACATTTTTTGTGAGTTGACTTGTGAGCATTTTTGCAATGGTAGCATATTGTTTCGCAATTGATATTTTCCTCATGTTGTGTTGCACAATTTCGACATTTTTATTTCCTTTGCAGTTTTTTTGTGTGTGTCCATAGAGGAGGCAATTAAAGCACTGGGTCACAGGTGGGATGTAGGGGTTAATTTTTATTGGAAGGCTAAAGATGCTGATGAACCTGGGCAGTATGGTGCCTTTAAACATAATCAATAGTGAATGACAAATTTAACAATGTAAAATGTTTATCACTGACATTTATTTTTATGGTTATATTTGGACTACTATCAATGATAATATTTTGCCTTATTAAATTTGTCATTTTTCTTCTTACCATTATGTTTGGACTAGAGACCCTCAAGTCTCTAGTTTGGGCTACTGTCAGTAATGACATTTTGTATTGTTAAATTTGTCATTTTTGTAATAAGGTTATGCATAAACATGTTTGGAAAATTGAGGGGCTCGTTGCAAGAAGATACCCGGCTTCATATTCGGAAAATGTTCAGGAGACAAGAAAAACCTTTTTAAAAATTATTTTATACAATGTCATTAATTTTTATTTTTTTATGGGTATATAGACCAATTGACATTAAATTACCAGATTTTCACGTCTTTATAATAATAAACTTATCCAAAAATTAAGTAAGGGGCCGTCCATAAATGATGTCACACACTTGGGGGGAGGGGGTCGTCGGAAATGTGATAGCCGGAGGGAGTTTTAGCAGGTTGTTACGTCACAAAGAGTAACTCAAAATTTTTCAAAAGTGGACTTAGGGTGTTTCTAAAATCAGTGATTCAATAATTGAATTATTATTACTAGGTATAAGTATTTATTTATCAATTAATGTTAATTAGAAATCGATTCCCAGGAAGCAAAAACTACTTTTTAGTTAAAATAACATGTATTTCACATCCTATATATGAGACATTCTTTTACATATCGTACGAATTACAGAAAACATATTTTTTTAAATTTTTAAAATGACTTAATTTTTTTTTACAGCGTCTTTTCATAAATTTAGCCGACCCCTATATCGGAATTTTTGCAGAAAATTTATTTTTCCAAAGATATATTGATTTAAACTTTTGATAAAATTTGAAGAAATGCTGAATTCTTTTGTACTTAAAATTCATTATCTCCGGTTCTACTGATCGGATCGATTTCATTTTTTTTTTATTTTAAACCATATTACATAGTCTTTTTAGATAAATATTTAAAAAGTTTGTGTTTTGTTTATTATTTGAAAAAAATATTTTTTTTTTGTATAAAAAGATTTTTTGTGTTTGCCCCCTCTATGAAAAAAAATGAAAAAAATAAAATACTCTACAAAATGAATTTTTCAGAAAAATGGAGACTTTTTTGGATCGGAAGATATTAAATATTTTCGAGCGCGTGACCGGTACAAGCCGTAAGGGGGCATCCATTAATTACGTGAGGCGTTTAGGGGAGGGAGGGGGTCAAGCCAAATCTCATCAATTATCACGTAAGGGAGAGGGGGGGTCTCGGCAAATATCACGTAATTTTTAACAAAGTATGTTTTTTTAATAAATCCAACAGAATCAAGAAGTTTAACGTATAAATATTAAAAATAAGCATTTTTTAAAATCTCACGTGAGATTAGGGGGAGGGGGTTGAGCCAAATCTCACGACATCTCAGCAAGGGGGGAGGGGGTCAACAAATCGCTAAAATTGACTTACGTAATTAATGGACACCCCCTAATCAGACATCTTCGAAACGCTAACACATTTAGCATAGTGTAAACTCAAGATCGTTTTAAAAAAATTCCAGCGCTTTTTGTAAATTAATTCTGATTATAAAGGTTTTCAATAATTTTAAATAAATTAAATTTTAAATAATACAAACTCCAATTAATGAGTAAATTTATTAACTGGCAGAATTGACATTTGCACAGGTGCACAGGTGTATGTATCTTGACATTTGCACAAATAAGTCACCAATTAAAAGATGTCGAATCATGGCACTCTTATACAAAATATCACGTCACCCGCCACCAGTGTTGCCAGTCTAGTACAATTGTACTAGATCTAGTACTTTTTTAATACATTCGATAAAAACATTGGGCGGAATGATAATAGATGGCGACACCCACCTTGTGGCGAAACCTACTAAACCAACCAACTAAAGAGAGTTGTTGCGCATGACTGTTACTTGTCATTAAAAATTCTGATAGAAACTTTCTGTGTTTTAAAAAAAGTGTACCTATATAATTATTAAGTGTATATAATTATTATATAATATTAATAGACCTATTCCATAAAACGGACTTTTGGATAGCGCGTGCGTGAAAAGGCACATCGTCTTTTTTTAATTATATAAAAGAGAAAGAGATACCACTCTTCTTCAGGCACGCGCTATCCAAAAGTATGTTTTATGGGATAGGTCTATAGGGGAATATTT